AACCTCTTATCTCCTCGCGGTGCCGGACGGGCAACACTGTCGTGGACAGTGCTGTGGGGCGGGGGGGGGGGGCAATGCCTCATTGGCCTCTCCCCTCATGGCATCTGTGACCACCACAGTGGCTAAACGGGGGCTCTGGACGGGTGCGAGGGGCTGGTAACCCCTCCACCTTCAATTAATTACCACGAAACTACGAATTAAACATAAACCTTTAACAAATAAGCTTGTGCCGGAGGCCCCGGGGGGACAGGCGTCTATGACGTCTCCTGGCCAAATCCCAATTGGCGGAGCCAGGAGATTGAATCGTCACCCTCGGGGCTCCTCCAGAAACAACGAAAAGCCATTACGGATAGCCACGTGGAATGTTCGAACGCTCACTGCGGAGGAGAGGCTGCCACTCCTTTGTCGGGAGCTGGACCGGTACCGCCTGGATCTCTGTGGCATTCAGGAGGTCCGGTGGACTGGTTCTGGCTCCTGCCACCATGAGTGGTGGACAGTCCTCTACTCGGGGCAGGAGACTGCCAAACAACAGGGTGTGGCTCTTCTTTTGAACAAAAGAATGAAGGGGGCGTGGGAACGTGGCGGTGAGGTGTGGGAAGCTGAAAGCCCCAGGATTCTTTGGGCTCGCCTTCCCATCAACCGGAGGCGAGGAGTGGTGGTCGTGGTTACTTATGCCCCCACCGAAGACGAACATCCATGGAGGGATGCAGGCAAAGCCGATGAGTCAGATGCCTTCTATGACCTCCTGTCACAGGTGCTGGCTAAAGTGGCCACTCGGGACAGAGTCATCTTGTTGGGTGACTTCAATGCCCGAGTTGGTCATGATGCTGGCACCTGGTCTGGAGTGATTGGAAGGCATGAGACAGATCAGCTCAATAACAACGGTAGGAGGCTGCTAGATTTTTGTGCACCCCATGGGCTTGTAATTACCAACACGCTCTTCCGGCATCGGCGCATCCACACAACATCATGGATGCATGCCGGGTCCAAGCAAGAACATCTGCTGGACTACATAATGACGGACCAGCGGATGCGAGCCCATGTCCTTGACACCAGGACCTACCGTGGAGCTGATCTGCCCTCTGACCATCTACTAGTCATCTGTAAGATGCGCCTGCCATTCTTCCACTTCGGTGGTGGGTGTACACCCAGGACCCCATTCAAACCAAAAGTGGCCTGGTCTCAGTTAGCTTGCAGCTGGGGTTGGCATCGTACCCCACTCCTCCTGATGTCGAGGGTAAATGGGCGAGGTTTAGGACTGTGACTCATGCAGCTGCAATGGCTGCTTTTGGTACGCGGTCCAGACCTCCCCAGAAACCCTGGCTGACAGAGGAGGTGTTCAGGTTAGTTGAGAAAAAGCGACAGGCCCACTCTCATCGGCTACAGCATCCCACGTCAGAGAATGAGGAGGTTTACCGCAGCCTTCGCTCGGAGGTTCGGAGAGCGCTGCAAGGATGGGTGGTGGTCGCGGGTTGCTGAGGAGATGGAGTCTGCCTCAGTGGCCCGCGATCACAAATCACTATTTAATTCCATCAAAAAAGTAACCTGCAGCGCCACACCTATTACCATCATTAGGGGAAAAAACAGTGATCCAATCTCAGACCCCCAGGAACAGGTTTGCAGATTTGCTGAGCATTTCTGTGAGGTCCTGGGGGAGGGGAAATCCCTCAGCCAGGAAAACATAATGGCACAAAGTGGGGATAACCCTGCTGAGGCTGCGGTTCCTCAAATTTTGGAGGAGGTCACCCCCTATGAGTGGCTGGCTGAGGTGCCATCTGTTGAGGAAGTACTGAAGGCGATCCGGAGTCTGAGACTAGGAAAGGCACCGGGCAGAGATGATCTCCCAAGCGAAATGCTCAGGGAGGGTGGCGTTTGTGCACAGACTGTCCTACATGACATCATAACAACAGTCTGGACCACTGGTCAGGTTCCGCAGGATTGGAAGGATGCCCTGGTGGTCCCCCTCTTTAAGAAGGGGGACCGCATAGACTGTAACAACTACAGGGGCATCTCACTCCTCAGTGTGCCGGGAAAGGTCCTGGCAAGGATTATTCAACATCGCCTTGCTAGGCACGCTGAGGAGGGGCTTGTGGAGCCCCAATGCGGTTTCAGGAAAGGACGGTCCTGCACAGATGCCATATTTTTTGTCCGTCTGCTACAGCTGAGATGTAGGGAATTCCAACAAGACCTACGTCTCTGCTTTATTGACCTGGTCAAGGCCTATGATACCATCAGTAAGCCTGGGCTCTGGGTTGTTCTTCGTGCTTTTGGAGTCCCTGACCCTCTGCTCACGATCATTAAGGACCTTCATGATGGTGAGCGGGCCCGGGTAAAACTACGTGGCCGGGAGTCGGAGCCTTTCCCTGTACACCTTGGGGTGCGGCAGGGATGTCCTCCACCTCCCACATTATTTAACATCTATTTTGACCGCGTAGTTCGTGAAGCCTTCAATTGCTGTACCGGGGGAATTTCCATTTGGTCCAGATATAATGGGAGGCTGATCGATGCCCGGGTGCGATCAAGGGATGGCTCCCTATTGGTCAACCACGTTATGTATGCTGATGATTTGGTAATAGCTGCTCATTCAGAGGAGGAGTTGGAGATGCTGCTGCTGAGACTGGAGCGTGCCACTAAGAGGTGGGGCCTTACCATCAGCCCCACCAAAACTAAGCACCTGCCTGGGTATTTTCTCCCATCGGACACTCCACCCCCACAACTCCCAATCGGTGATGGGGCAGTAGTGGAGAGAGTGGAGAGTTTCCCATACCTTGGCAGTGTGCTTATGACCGGCTCCAGTTTAACAGCAGAGGTCTCACTCCGAATCAGTCGAGCGGCAATATCTTTTCATCGGTTGCGTAACGTTGTGTGGAAGCTACCTGGTCTGTCGCTCCGCACGAAGCTTCAGGTCTTCTCGGCTACTGTCATTCCATCCCTTCTCTACGCTTGGAAACGTGGACCCCCCTAATGGAGCATCTTCGCCGGTTGGAAACATTTAGGCTGGCCTGCCTACGATCCATCCTGGGTTTAACCAGGCTGGATTGTGTTAGGAGCTCACAAATCTTTGAAAGATCTGGGCAAAGTCCCATCGGTGAGCTCCTCCGGCAGGCAAGGCTGCGTTGGCTGGGTCATGTAGCCCGCATGCCCAGCGTGTGTGTATTCACGTGTGTGTGTTCACGTGTGCGTGTGTCTACACGTGTGTGCGTGTGTGTGTTCACGTGTGTGTGTTCACGTGTGCGTGTGTCTACACGTGTGTGCGTGTGTGTGTTCACGTGTGTGTGTTCACTTGTGCGTGTGTCTAAACGTGTGTGCGTGTGTGCGTGTGTCACTGATGGATTGTTCGGCGCTCTCTTCCCCGCCGCTCCGTGCTTCCTTGAATCCTAATCAGCTGAGCTCGGGGTTTTTTTTTGCATCCTCGCCACCGCGTTTTCTCGTTCGCAGCAGCTTTATTCGATCCCTTGTATTTATTTATAATACAACTACTATTCTTATATTCTTATAATAATTATTTATTTACCCCTCCCCCCTCCTCCCGCCCCCTACCTATAATCCGCGCGTGTCATATGCACGGGGCTTGTAGCTGCATCTTCTACATTAAAAATCGGTAGTGGAGTGGTTAGCCTTTTATTATGAACCTTGCACTGACCGGCGTGGTGAAGTATGGTCAAAACAATTCCCACGATCCGATATGCGTGAGCGCGTATCGAGCCCCGCCCACTGGCTTCGCAGAGCAGTGCGCTGACCGTTGTGCCACCGTTCCCCCAAAGATCTCCCAAAGATCCCCCAATGATCCCCTGTGTAGGTTTTTGCCGACAAGTGCTGCCAGCGAGCACTCATGAAGGTCCGCCTTTGTCTCCCCAGTGGCGATGCTTACGCAACGCACCAGGAGTTCATTTGAGGCTGAGTCGACCTAGGGGAGGCCCAGGACCGGTTGAGATAATCATCACCGGTGTTAGTGGCCGTGAGCTGGAATCGAACTCGGATCGCCGCGCTAACCACTACGCTACCGCTCCCCACTACGCTACCGCTCCCCACACACATACACACACACGCACCTACATACACACACACACGTACACACACCTACACACCTATTACCACTGGCTCTACGTCTCCGCTGATCTCTACTCTCTAGTGAGTGAATGGGCCAGTGGATTGACAAATGGATCGAAATTTTACGGTTCCTTTATAGGATTTGCAGGATTCAGTATTGGTCAGTGCCTGAGGCTCACCCAACCAGAATAAGGCAGAGCTCGGATGCCAGGGGTTCTCTTCTGTCGCCCACAAAAGATGTTAAAGCCGGACTCGAGGGTGGCATGGCCGTGTGAAAACCACTCCGTAAACCACATTTTTATTCCATGTCACTTTACTGTTACCTCTGTTCATCTGTCTGTCCGTTTGTCCGTGTGTCTGTAACGTGGGAGGGGGTCACAATAGTCCTTGTAGATAACTGAAACTTTAATATACAGTTGTGTTGCCACCAAGGACCTAACCTTACTAGCTGGCTGTGTCGGGTGGTGGTGGGTTAACGACACATTTCTATTGACGCGATCTAACCCCAAAAAAAACCCCCTTTAAAGTGTAAGAGCTGCTTAGCTTCTGAGACCGGGTGCATTACGGATGATTTGTGCTACAGTTTTATCATCATGCTTCGGTTTTGCTTTCACTTAAATTCGCGTGGGGGGGGGGGGGGGCGGAGCGGTGGTACAGTAGTTAGAGCACTGCCCTATGACCGAGTTAGATTTTGGGACGTGGGTAACACCAGCGGTGAGCGATGTCCGAACCGACCCCGCGTATTCCCCACCCTTCAGCAACCCGCACTCATCAGTGCGGCGAGGTGTGGTTAAACAACACCGATGACCGACACGGCATAGGGTAGCCTTTCATCCAGCAGTGGATTGACACAGTGCCACCGATCCCCTAACCGAAACCCCGCCCAACACTTAATTCTGCTTCCTTCCCTCTCTGCCCCTCTCTCCTCTCTCTCTCTCCCATCTCCCCAGACACCATCAGAGTTGAACCACAGGGACACCTCAACTGACCTCAAGCCCAGCGCTGTGGCTGGGGCAAGGCGGACGCGGCAGGGCAAGGTCAAAGGTAGAGCTGGAGCAAGGTGGAGCATCAGCTGCTCCAGGATGCGGTGGAGAACGCGACAACAGCAGCAGCAGCAGCGTCACCGATGGACAACGAAGGCGGCAGTGAGCGGAGGTCGCCTCACCGGAGCGGCCCTCGCCGTGCTCGCTTGTCTCGTGAGCGTGCACGCCGAGCGACACATCCACAGGTGAGAGATCCTCACCCAGCCACCCAGCCACCCACCCACCCAGTCACCCAGCCACCCAGCCACCCAGCCACCCAGCCACCCAGCCACCCAGCCACCCAGCCACCCAGCCACCCACCCAACTAGCCACCCACCCACCCAGCCACCCACTCACCCAGCCACCCACCCAACTAGCCACTCACCCACCCAGCCACCCACCAAACCACCCAGCCACTCACCCAGCCACCCAGCCAACCACTCATCCACCCAGCTACCCAGTCACCCACTCAGCCACCCAACCAGCCACCCAGCCACCCACCCACCCAGCCACTCACCCACCCAATCAGCCACCCACCCAACCACCCAACCACCCACCCAGCCACCCACCCACCAAACCAACCAGCCACTCACCCACCCAGCCACCCAGCCAGCCAGTCACTCACTCACCCAACCACCCACCTAACCAGCCACCCAGCCACCCACTCACCCACCCAATCATCCACCCACCCACCCACCCAACCATCCATCCATCCACCCACCCACCCACCCAACTAGCCACCCACCCACCTAGCCAGCAACCCAACCAGCCACCCACCCACCCACCAAACCAGCCACCCACCCACCCAACCGAGTGAGTGGAATTCGAACCGCAGACCTTTGCAGGACAAGCGATGATCGGTCCTGGCGCAGCGTCACCGCCGCACCGAATGTACTCTCTCTCCCCGCGACGTTGGCCACGAAATTGCAACGCCGCATTGCGTGGACGGTCGTGCACCGTGCGTTCGTGTCACCACCACCAAAGACAAAGATCCCCCCCCCGTGTAGCCTTCACAGGCTGTTGGGGCATGTGCGGTTAGCGTGCGCCTATGAGGGCCGGCACAGCACACGTGGGGGTGGATGGCCATCACCACGCCCGGCCGCCTTTGTCTCCCCAGAGGCGTTGTTTACACACTGCACCAGGCACTCATTTGAGTCTGAGTTGACCTAGGGGAGGCCCAGAACCGGTTCAAATTATCGCTTCTCGTGTTGACCATGAGCGGGAAATCGAACTCGGGTGGCCGAGTTCGCAGTGCAGTGCACTAAGCGCTACACTACCACTCCCACCACCACCACAATCATCATCATCATCAATCATCGGCTTTTTTTGTTATCGCGTGTTTCAAAGCGAATCTCTCAAATCGCCCACACACATCACAGCTCCACCAGTGCAGAAATAACTGCACGTGCGTCAACTCGAAGAGGGAAAAAAAAGAACCGCGTCATTACGGACGAACGCTAAACCGAGATGGGAATTTTTGTCACGGCCTCTCCGTGCGGCGAGAATTGGCGAGAGACATTGCGACGCTTGGAGAAGGGAGCGAGGGGAGAGCGACGAGAGATGGACCCTTGACGTCGGAGCAACCGCTGTTAAAACTCCACAACTTCATCTTCTTGGTTCTTTCGGTAAAGTCACGTAGAAGGGAAGTAATAAAATAATAAAAATTAAACATAATAAAATAATTCTCACGACGTTTCGGCCACAACGCAAGCAGCCGTCCTCGCCACAACGCAAGCAGCCGTCCTCAAACGTCGTGAGAATTATTTTATTATGTTTTATTTTTATTATTTTATTACTTCCCTTCTACGTGACTTTACCGAAAGAACCAAGAAGATGAATCCCTGCCGTCACGAAAGCTTTAAATCGAAACTCCACAACTTCCCAAAAGCTTTTCTTTTTTACAAATCTGCCAATCTAGCTTGCTCGCTCGCGCTGCGGAGACCGTCAGCTTTGCTCGCTGTTAAGTGCGCGCGGAAGCTCGCGAGTAACGCCGGGCTTTGAAACGTCGCCGACACATCCGACACCGCGCAAACGTGCGTCGCGAACACAGCGGAGTCGCGTAGATCAGTGACGAGTCGTCTACACACCCCCACCCCCCCCCCCCTGGAATGTGTAAACGTTCGAGCGCGTGATTGTGTGCCGGAGACGCGGAGCGATCTTGCGACTCCTCTCGGTCGGCCGATTCAACGATGTGATCGTGACCCGCGGTTTTTGCGGTGTCGGATCAACGATCGAAATTTGTTTTGTTGGTTTTCAAGCGTCGCTGTGGCACGCGGTCATGGCGGGGGGGGGGCGGTCTCGGTCCGGCAGTAGATGGACCATGGCTGCTGACATGGATGACGATGCAAACAATGACGGAGAAATGTACAACCGTCGGTTTCATCCGCTGAAATGGACGAAGGCCCCCGTCCAACCGCGCAGCGTTGGTCACGGGGCTTTGTCTGGCCATACTTCACCACGTGGGTCCAGCGCGCGTCGGCGGAGTCAGGGCTTGCGCTGCGTCGTTCACGGGCGGCTCATTGACATCACCGGGTTCAAAGCGCAGCGCGCTAACCGCTGCGCCACCGCTCCAACCCCCACCGCGGCATTTTAACCGAATTAAGGGGGATCGAATTAAGGGGGTGGTCGCGTGGCAGTCCGCTCCGTGATGCTGAGTAACGCTCACCGTTCTATACGATGATCACTTCGTCTTACTCTTCGGTTTTCTCTCTCTCAAAGTTAGTTCTACCTGATGACGGTTGCTTGTGTTGCCATCGAAACGTCGTACTCTATTATTATTTTATCTACGTGACTTTACCGAAAGAACCAAAGAGTAATCCCTGCAGTCACGTAAGCTTCAAATCACGTCGTCTTGTCTATCGTGTCGTTGCACCCGTTCGTCTGCGTAAACCCCTCACGTGCCCCATCTCGTTCTGTCTCTCGTGCTACGTGAACCGGTAGGTGACATTTGCATAACTTGTGCATGCGATTAACATACATTGCAAACTATTCTCTCCAAGCGCGTAATGTGAGTGGAGAGTGGCCGCGGGCCTCAGAGGTCACAGCGGAGCAGAGATCCAGGATCCGAGTTCCTGGTTTTTGCGTCCACCCAAAGACAAAGATTCCCCGTGGAGCCTACACAGGCTGTTGGGGCCAAGTTCTGTTTAGCGAGCAGCTATGAACGGCGACAAGGTGGCTGAGTGGGGTGGTGTGGCCAACACCACGCCCGAACGCCTTTGTCACCCCAGTGGCGATGATGTTAACACTCTGCAGTGAGTACTCATTTTAGCAGCAGCCCCCAGCGGCAACAGTTGAGTCGCGCTGAGCGCGCTGTGACCCGATTTCGACCCCCACTCACAGCCACCAACACCAGTGACGATTATCTGAACTCGTCCTGGGGCTCCCCAAGATCAAATCACGCAAACCAAAGACAAAGATCCCCCGTATAGCCTCAACATACCGTTGGGGCAAGTGCTGTTTGCGAGAACCTATGAAGGTCGGCGCGGCACAACGAGGGGGTGGGTGGGTGGCAAACACTCACGCCCGGCCGCCTTTGTCTCCCCCAGTGGCGATGTTTACACACACACACAGCAGCACCAGCCATTCATTTGAAGCTGAGTCGACCTAGGGGAGGTAGGGCCCATGACCGATCCGCACACTTGCCACGCTGACTCACTCTCTCGCCTCGCGCCCGACAGATTCCCGTCGGAAAACCCCGCGTGGCCTCTCAACCACCTCGCGGTGCACGAGCGCACGGGCGCCGTGTACGTGGGCGGCGTGAACCGCGTGTACCGCCTGGCGGGCGACCTGCGGCTGGGACGCGCGCACGAGACGGGCCCCGCGCGCGACAACCGCGACTGCTACCCGCCGCCGATGGTGGAGGCGTGCAGGCGCGAGCCGGCGCCCACCGACAACGTCAACAAGCTGCTGCTCCTCGACTACGCGGGCGACCGACTGCTGGCGTGCGGCAGCGTCTACCAGGGCGTGTGCCAGCTGCTCAAGCCCGACGACCTCTTCAAGCTCGGCGAGCCCATGCACCGCTCCGAGCACTACCTCTCGAGCGTCAACGACAGCGCCACGATGTTTGGCTTCGTCGTGCCGCGGCGCGGCGGCGGTGGCGGCGGTGCTGGAGGAGGAGGCGGAGGAGGGGGGCGGACGGTGGGCGAGGACGGTGGTGGCGCGGTGCCGGATGATCGCGCGGCGGCTGCGGCAGCGGCGGCGGCATCGGAGGACGATTCGACGCGCGCGACGCCGCGGCCGCCGTTTCCGTCGGACGCGTCGAACGTCGGATCGACGACGATCACCCAGCAGCAGCAGCAGCAGCAGGAGGGGTCGGAGCGGCGGCCGCGGCAGGACGAGTCGAGCGGCGAGAGCGTGCTGTTCGTGGGCACCCCCGTGGGCGGCAAGGTGGACTACTTCCCGACGCTGTCGAGCCGCACGCTGAAGAGGGACGCGGAGGACGCGGACATGTTCGGCTACGTCTACCACGACGAGTTCGTGTCGTCGCAGCTCAAGATCCCGTCGGACACGTTGTCGTCGTTCCCGGGCTTCGATATCTACTACGTCTACGGCTTCCAGAGCGGCGGCTTCGTCTACTTCCTCACGGTGCAGCCCGACACGAGGAAGCTGTCGAGCGACGCCGAGCGGAGGTCGCACTTCGCCTCCAAGATCGTGCGTCTGTGCGAGGGCGACACTCACTTCTACTCCTACGTGGAGCTGCCCATCGCCTGCGTCAAGGGTAACGTTCCCTCCTTCGTTCGTTCATTCATTCATTTTGTCCGCCACGCGTGAGTCCGTGGAACAAACGTGTAACGTCGCGGCGACAGCGTTCGCGTAAACTGCTCTTGCTGTCATGCTGCAGTGTCGATCCGTTTGAGGGTCGCGGTCTGCTTCGAACGTCGAACGCCGACTGAAGTGGCCGGGTTTCTTGCTGGAGTTTGCGCATCAAAGACGGGGGCGACGCGTCCAAAAGAGTGACACGGCCGTCTCCGTAGAGCTGAGCTCCCGCTCGCTGGGAGACCGCTCGCAGACGAAGTCGAACAATCAGACGCCAAAGAAGGCGTCTTTGGGATCGCATGTGGATGGGTAACTCTGCGTAAAAAAAACGTTGTTTTTATGTTACCAGGTGAGGCCCACTGGGCTATATAGGTCTTTATCAGAAGCGACCTGCCACCAAATGATAGCTCAGCGAAGTGCCTTATCACGTGAAAATGTATAGCAGCCAAATACTCCAAACGCGTGATGTTGATTCTAAATGTCGAGGGGAAAACCGGAGGACCCGGAGAAAAATCCACGCGATCTTGGGGAGAGATACACGCAAACTCCACATATACAGGCGTCAGGGTCGGGGTCGAGCCCACGACCTCCCGCAGAACAGGCGAGGGAGACAAGACCCCACCACCGCTGCGTTCGCAATTCCCATCCCCTGCTCATTGCGAACGAAGGCAGCAATACATGACTACAAGGAGCGCCGCCATGGCGAGATGGTTTTCTCCCTCGGCCTGGTATGCAGGAGGTCGTGAGTTTGATCCCGACCCTGACGCCTGCTAAATATTTGTAGTTTCCGTGTTCTCTCCCCATGGTCGCGTGGATATTTCTTCAACGTGCGTTTTTTAAAAAAATCTTTGGCTGCTATAAATTTCCACGTGATAAGCCACTTCGCTGAGCTATAATTTGTTGGCCGGGTCACTTCTGAAAATAACTATATATATATAGCTGGTAAAATAAAGCAAAACAGTTTAGTTCGAGTTCAGTTTACGCACCCGGAGGTTGATGCCGATGTCGAGGCCCCCGCTGCCACTGCTGCTGTTGGCAACGACGAGAGGGCTTCAGCAGAGAGAGAGTTCACGTCTTCTTGCTATTCCTCCTTCTCCTCCTCCGTCGTAGGAGCGCGGACCACAGTCGTCTACAATATGCTCCATCGTTTGAAGCGCGATTTACACTGCATGCGTGCATATTTCGCGAATCGGACGCAATGTTCCATCGACGACTCGGACGCACGGAGCCAGATTTTGAAGTCCCCCTCCCCAGCCTGGAGAGATGAGGGCCTGAACGGGCGAGAGCCTTGGCGGGTGACAGCATTGAACTACTACTTGAAGATTAATTTTCTCGGTGGCAGCTGCTATTGCAACTGCTGCTGCAACTGCTGCTGCTACTGCTGCTGCTACTGCTGCTGCTACTGCTACCGCTGCTGCTATTGCTACTGCTGCTGCTGCTACCGCTGTTGCTACTACTGCTGCTGCTGCTGCTACTACTGCTGCTGCTGCTACTGCTGCTACTGCTACCGCTGCGTGTGCGTGCACTGGGCTAGAGGGTTCCAGACGCGCTGCTGCCGGTGCAGCTGCAGAGAAAAAACGCCTGCTCGGCCAGCACGGTGTCGCTTCGTGGGGCGGTGGGCAGGTTGTTAGACGAAGCTCCTTAGGACGCGGTGGCGGTGTGCCGTGGTCGGTGGAGCGAGAAGGGAAGGGGAGCTTTGGGCGGGGGACCCTGAGAGAGAGATGGAACTCGATGGCACAGCATCGCGATTTTGCACCGTGTCCTGAGTTTGATGGGAATTCGTTTTTTCTTATTCTTGCTTTTGGTTCTCAAGCTGACTGGCAGCTTTACCCGATTACATGCTCCCATGTCAGATATATAATTTAGCATCGGCATACCAATGTGCAGTTAAAGAAATGGCTCCACTTTCTTGAATCCACCCCTCCACCCACCCGAGGTCTCTGCCCACTCCGACCTCTGCCCACCCCGACCTCTGTAGTGGAAGCACAGTGACGAGAGCGAGCAATTGCAGGGCTGCGCCTTCATCTGTTGTTCAAAAATACTAAATGCTGGAGTCTCGCTCGGAATGCGCAGATCTCATCAGTTTTCCGAGGCTTTCACTGTGCCTTGCAATTAAGATTTCACGATTTAACGGAACGGCAAATCCTGTAGTAACAAGGCCATGCAATCTCTTGTCGGAGACAGACATTCGTTTTTTTTTTAAAGCAACGGCCACTTGTTATTTAAATTAGAAGCAGACGCGGGCTGGACTTCCTGACATCTAGGGACCCCCTGGGATGTTTCTTTTTTTCCTGAGCTGAGCATCTGTGCGATGTGTGATACGATGGCTGCTGCTACTACTGGTGCTACTACTGCAGATACTCCTGCTGTCACTGCTGCTGTCACTGCTGCTGTCACTGCTGCTGCTCTTACGACTACTGCTGCTACTATTACTGCTGCTATCACTTGCTGCTACGTGTTAAGCTACTGTTGCAACGGCTCCTGATACTGCTGCTACTATTGCTGCTGTCACTACTGCTCCTACTACTGCTGCTACTGCTTCTGCCACGACTTCTTGCTGCCACTACTGCTGCTCCTGCTACCATTGCTGCTGCTACTGCTGCTGTTACTCCTGCCGCCTCGAATTCTTGCTGCTACTACTGCTACTGTTCCTACAACTGCTACTACTGACCCTGCTACTACTGCTACTACTTCTGCTGCCACAACTCCTTAATGCCACTGCTGCTACTGCTCCTACTACTGCTACTACTGAGCCTGCTACTGCTCGTGCTACTACTGCTGCTACTATTGCTGCCACTACTGCTCCTACTACTGCTACTACTGACCCTGCAACTGCTCGTGCTACTACTACTGCTACTCATGCCACGACTTCTTGCTGCCACGACTGCTACAGCTCCTACTACTGCTACTACTGACCCTGCAACTGCTCGTGCTACTACTACTGCAACTACTCATGCCACGACTTCTTGCTGCCACGACTGCTACTGCTCCTACTACTGCTACTACTGACCCTGCAACTGCTCGTGCTACTACTACTGCAACTACTCATGCCACGACTTCTTGCTGCCACGACTGCTACTGCTCCTACTACGGCTACTACTGACCCTGCTACTGCTCGTGCTACTGCTGCTGCAACTACTCATGCCACGAGTTCTCGCTGCCACGACTGCTACTGCTCCTACTACTGAGCCTGCTACTGCTCGTGCTACTACTGCTGCAACTACTCATGTCACGACTCCTCGCTGCCACTGCTGCTACTGCTCCTACTACTGCTACTACTGACCCTGCTACTGCTCGTGCTACTACTACTGCAACTACTCATGCCACGACTTCTTGCTGCCACGACTGCTACTTTTCCTACTACGGCTAATACTGAGCCTGCTACTGCTCGTGCTACTACTGCTGCTACTACTCATGCCACGTCTTCTCGCTGCCACTACCGCTGCTGCTGCTTCCTACTTACCGCCGCTGCCACCCTCACTCAACCACGTGCTGCCCTTCCACAATTCCCCTCCCCTGCATACCCCCCCCTCCCCCCTTGCACAGACGGTGTGGAGTACACCTTGCTGGAGGCGGCCTTCACCGCACCGCAGGGGGCCGGCCTGGCGGCGTCGCTGGGCCTCGACGTGACCGAGGACGTGACGCTCGCCGTGTTCTCGCGTGACCGGCGAGACCGTTCGAGTCCGCCGGGCGACACGGCGCTGTGCGCCTTCCCGCTGCGCGACGTCAACCGCAGGATCCGCGAGCGCATCCGGGACTGCTACCTGGGGCAGGGTCGCCTCGAGCTGGGCTGGCACATCAAGAAGGACATACCTTGCTGGTACGCGGTAAGTCTTGCCGCGTGGCACGCGCTGGTGGTGGTTGCCGTGGTGGTGTTTTGTTGGCCACGGTGGCGAGATATTAACTGCCTCGACTGGTATGCAGGAGGTCGTGGGTTCGATCCGGACCTTGACGCCTGCTGCTGTATATTTGGAGTGTTTTTCTCCCCGTGGTCGCGTAGATTTTTCTCCGGGTCCTGCGGTTTTTTCCCTCCACATTTAGAAACACACGTTTAGAGTATTTGGCTGCAATACATTTCCACGTGATGAGCCACTTCTTTCGACCATCATTTGTGACCAGGTCGCTTCTGAAATAGAACTATAAAACTCAGTGGGAATTACCTGGTAAAATAAAAAAAAATCTATATTTAAATAGTTTATAGTTTTAGCGGTGTTACCGCTGTACGAATATATGTTGAACTTCTTTCGCACCATGTGGCCAACCGCGCTTATCAGTTGTGCGGGGGAAGGGCAACAAACTAAACACACAAATCAGTTCTAAAGAAATAAGTTTCAATCTGGATGATATTTTAAAAGTGCCTAGCTCCAGTGGCTTCCTAATATTGGAAGGAAGAGCGTTCCAGACGGCCGCAGAAGCGCATTTGAAAGCACGATGCAGTGTCCGATGGGTAGCCAAACAGCCGCTGCGAGGATGAGCAGAGATCGCGTGATGTTTTACTGCTTCTACTTCTCTCGTTTACTCTCCTGGATGTTAAAGCACCCGGTGGTGTTATTAGGCAAAGTGTAAAGGACACGGTCCCAATTTGCCTATTCATGAAAATGACTCGCAAATTACTTAATTATGTGGGGGAAACACATGCTCGAGTATCATCTTACCCGTACTAGCAGTCTAATGCCCATCTGGCGAGATTTAACAACGCGAAAATATGCTAATTGTATATGCAAAACATTTAAATGTATTTGTTTTACATTCTGTACGAATGTTTAGGAATATTTCTGTTGTGAACCCTCGACATTTACAGACTTGAATTATTATTGCCCATTTGGCTTCAAGATCAACTCGGGCAAACGGCGAAGCTTCCTGGGTAGTGGGCGGGGCTACCTGGGTAGTGGGCGGGGCTAGTACCTGAATAGAAGGGCGGGGCTAGTACCTGGGTAGTGGGCGGAGCTAGTACCTGAATAGTGGGCGGGGCTACTTGGGTAGTGGGCGGGGCTACCTGGGTAGTGGGCGGGGCTACCTGGGTAGTGGGCGGGGCTACCTGGGTAGTGGGCGGGGCTAGTACCTGGGTAGTGGGCGGGGCTACCTGGGTAGTGGGCGGGGCTACCTGGGTAGTGGGCTGGGCTAGTACCTGGGTAGTGGGCTGGGCTACCTGGACAGTGGGCGGGGCTAGTTCCTGAATAGTGGGCGGGGCTACCTGGATAGTGGGTGGGGTTAGTACCTGGACAGTGGGCGGGGCTACCTGGTTAGTGGGCGGGGCTACCTGGTTAGTGGGCGGGGCTATCTTCGCAGTGGAGGGGTTACCTGAGCAGTAGGGGTGGCTACCTTTCCATCTCTTACAGACTTGCTCAATTCAAGAAACACATTAAACTCCTATCAAGAGTTGCGATTGTTGCTGGCCGCTTTGCGTTTTGAGCCAATGGGCCTACTGTGCCGAGCAAACGTGATTTAAAAAGGAAAAACGAGGCCACGAGCTGCTGCCATCAATATTTCCCCTGACTTGAGCGTTGGTCGTAAGAGGTTGGCAGGTGGAAGCATCAATCAATCGATCGATCTTTATTTTAGGTTCCAATATCGCCCTCAATAAAATAGTGCATCGGTGCACATTCCAGCGTAAGAAAAGGTAAGTAGTAAATACAAATACAAATTAAAAAGTAAAGAGACGGTTTTTGTTAATTTAAATTCAGTCAATCAATTGATGACACGGGGAGGGGTGGAGGGAGGGATGAGTCCAAGGAAATGGTGCAGCTGATCCGGGCGAGGTCTCCGTGTGTTGCACAATCGAGCTGAGAGGTCCACTCAGGCACGCGCTCCAGTGGTGCTGGTGGTGGTAGCGGTGGGGAGTTGGTGGGTCACGAGCAGATGTTTTAATCTTCACAGGGCCGCGAGGTTTTGGCTTAACAGCAAGTGGGTTTGTCGAGTGGCGTGTGTATCTCCCTGTGTGTGTGTGGTGGATTTTCTCCAGGCGAGCATCCCAATGTAGCGGGACCCTTATGACAAAAAGTCATCCTGAAACTCAGTGAGGCTTCCCTGTGTAAATGAATAAACTGTGTACGCTGCCAGCAGAATGTTTACCATTTCCGAGGCAATGAAATGAAGAATTGTTCAAAGCTGGAAGAATAAATTAACGGATGTTAATTAAAAATGCGTGGACATTAATCGCCATCTAGCATGCTGCACTCATTTATCTTTACGTGTAATTTAACGAAATAAAAAAAATACAAATTTTATGAATTAATTACTTCGCTGCTATTACGAGCCAAAAGGCAGCTTGGCTGGTGATTAATGTTGACCACTCACAGTGTAGATTATCACGTGCTGAAACATTTCTGTAAGTTTTATCCTCCGTGTCCCTTGTCCAATCTGCTCCCTGGTTCCTTGTCCGCTCAACGACAACCACCACGACCAACATCACCACTGCCAACACAATACCACCACCACTACCTACCACTGCTACCACTGCCACAAATACCACCACTAACACTAACATCTCCACCGTGATCATCACAACCACCACTGCGACCACTACCACGACCACCACCACCATTACCACCAACATGGCCAACATCATTTCCACCACCACCACCACCACCACCACCACCACAAAATTTCCCATCACCTCCACCACCCATTTCACCATCAACATCGTAACCTCTAACACCACCAACATCTCCACAACCTGTACATCCACAACCACCACCACCACCACTTGCACCATCTTCACCCCAAAAACTATCACCACCATTTGTACCATAACCACCATCACCACCACTATCTCTGACACCTCCACCACCACCACCACCACCAACCACGCTCATCCACAGCCGGTGAAGATCGAGGAGGACTTCTGTGGCCTGGACACGAACCAGCCCCTTGGGGGTCTCTCGCGCATCGAGGGGGTCCCGCTCCTCGCGGCCGAGCCCGGCGACGGCATGACGTCGGTCATCTCCTACGTGCACGGCAACCACACGGTGGTGTTCGCCGGTACGGCCGGGGGCAGCCTCAAGAAGGTGAGCGACTCGTGCCCGCGTCGACCCGAACACACCGCGTCATTGTGTCGCCATCTTGGCAACGTGGCCTCGTTGGCAACGTCGCCACCGGAACCGTGGCACGATGTCACCACGTCTCGATATCTCGGTCACCATGTTGACGCGTCGTCGCGTGACCACGTTAGCACGTTACCGTGGCACCACGGCACCATGTCATCACGTTACCATGGCACACGCGTCACCGTGCCACTGCGTCACCACATTACCACGTCACTGGATCACCACGTCACTGGATCACCACGTCACTGGATCACAACATCACTGGATCACCACGTAACCATGGCACCACGTCACCGCTTCACCACGTCACCGTGCCACTGTTTCACCACATTACCACGTCACTGGATCACCACGTCACTGGATCACAACATCACTGGATCACCACGTAACCATGGCACCACGTCACCGCTTCACCACGTCACCGTGCCACTGTTTCACCGCGCCACCGCATCGCCACGTCACCACTTTACCACTTCGCCATAGGCCGTGAGAAACAATCAAATGATGGCAAATCAATTGCAGCCGTTCCATCAAAAAAAGCACAAAACCAAAACACCACCACCAGCTGCGAGCCAACCAGCGAGCGAGCGACAGACGGTTGACCACAAATGCTCCTCCTCCCGTATTCAACGCGAAGGCGAAATCACCGAGCGCCGCGCGTCCCGCAAAAGCGAGCGCAACTTCTTCATCGCGAATCGCCGCCACTCGCGGGCGGGCGGCCGGCCTCTCCTCCCCTGTCGCTGGTGCTGCGGAGCGACCGGGCGGAATTAGCAGCTCGGAGCGATGGGCGAAGTTCCGCCAAGACAGGGGCAAGAGAGAGAGAGAGAGAGAAAATAATAAAGAAATAAAATAAGCAATAAAACCGCAAAACAAAAATAAACGAGCGCACGCACACTCTCGCTCTCACACCATCGTACCAGCTTTGAGGCTCGCGGGTGACCTATTTGCGCCGACTTGCCCTTAAAACCTGCCAATTTGTGTCGGAGTGAGGCTGCAGACAGCAAATTCAAATCCCAAGCATGCGTGAAAGGGATTTTTTTTGCTGTTGTTTTGTTCGAACCACGTGGCCGAGGCCACAGCCTTCATTTCTTACACGGCCTCGCGCCGCTGGTTAACTCTTTGCCTTGCGCCTTCAAAAAGAACCTCAAGGATGAAAGGCGACTCTGATAACTTTTTTTTACATCGTTTTAAATCACTAATATTATTACTATGCGTCGTTATGGACATTGCAAAATCCGACCATGTCGGTCCAGTGCTTGCTGAGCTGCATTGGCTTCCGGTTGCTGAACGAATACGGTATAAGGTCACACTCACGACACACAAAGTGCTTGCCACAAATGAACCACAATATCTTGCTGATCTCGTCACGCAGCATGAACCATCCTCGCAGGCAGCAGCAGCAGCCTTTGGCAAGCCATCGGACAAAGACGGGCGCAGCGTCGCGCGGCGCTTTCAGATGCGCTTCTGCGGCCGTCTGGAATGCTCTCTTCCTTCCGATATTAGGAAGCCACTGGAACTGTGCATTTTTAAATCATCTCCATTGAAAACGAATTTCTTTAGGGCGGCTTTTTGTGTTTAGTTATTTGTCCTTTCTCCTGCACCCCCGATTAGCGCGGTTGGCTACGTACGGTGTGAAAGAAGTTCAACATACACACATTCTTATTGCAGACGTGGCTGTAAAAGTGATGACTAGGAGATGGCGGACCGGCTTGAAATCTGTCCTACGCCAGAAGTGAATTCTTTATTTCTCCAGGAGAGCGGCACTGAGTCATGAGACTCTTTCCAAGAGGGTCCTGCCACTGCACTGGGGCGACACGGTGGCTAGGAGATGTTAACTACCTCGCCCGGTATACAGGAGGTCGTGGGTTCGATCCCGACCCTGACGCCTCGATATTTGGAGTTTGCGTGTCTCTCTGCCCGTGGTCACGTGGGTTTTTCTCATTTCACATTTAGAATCAGTATGCATTTGGCTGCGATATGTTCCCACATAAGCCACTTCTTTGCGCTATTATTTGTGACCAGGTCGCGTCTGAAAAAAATAGTTATACTAGCTCTGTGGGCCTTAATTAGTAAAATAAAAAAATAGTATAATAGGTACGAAGTGGCGAATCGCTATGAGCAGCCTTTGATCTGCCGCGCTGGCTGCAATTATTTACGAAAAATGTAAAAGCAAAATGGAAATCGATAGGAAATCTTTGTAGCCACCGTCAACCACTCGAGCGCGGGTAAGAGGTGCGTGGGAAACGCGACGACTCGTGGTGACCGCTGACGCTCTCAACGAGCATATAACGAAAACAACCCTCCCAACCCCCCCGCAGTATGAGATATTTAACCTTTATCTTTTCTAAGCTGGCTACATACAAATTCGGAACTTTCGCGTCGCAGTTCCGTGTGCACGCATTGGCTATCATCATCATCGTCGTCGTCGTCGTCATCACCATTATCATCGTCATCATTGTCAACATCATTATCTTTTGGTAAAGTTACGTAGGCATAAAATAAAATAAATCACGACGTTTCGGGCGCAACACAAGCGTCCGTCATCAGGTGGGAAAGCATGGTGACCACCTGGTGTTGCGCCCGAAACGTCGTGATTTATATTATTTTATACCTACGTGACTTTACCGAAAGAACCAAAGAGAACGGATTCCTGCAGGCACGAAAGCTTCAAATCAAGATTGAACATCATTATCGTCGTCGTCATCACCATCGTCATTGTCATCAACATCATCATCATCGTCATCGTCGTCGTCATCATCATCATCGTCGTCATCATCATTGTCATCGTCGTCATCATCAGCTGTATTCTTTTGGTTAAGCGCTTTTTGCTCGATCCATGCCACTGTTTCCCCGTCATCATAATTCGTAAAATGTGAACGGCACGCGGCATCTGCTGGGCTTGGCGTTCGGATGAGCTCGCAAGACACGTGCCACCTCTAATGGGAAATTACACGCTCCGGGTTCATCGCCGATTCGCTCGTTACACCGCGCGGTTTGTCCTCCCTCCTCGAGCCGCGACGGACAGCGAGGCTTGGATTCGCGAAGGCGTCCACATTTCCGCCGCGTCTCCAACACGCAACGGCTGCTTGACCGTGGAGTGGTGGCGCGGTGGTTAGCGCTGCGCTGCTACCTACGAACACAGAGGTTCGTCTCCCTGCCACGGCTAACGCCAGTGGCGGTTTATGTTCGGGTGCCCCTCGTCGCCAAAGCCCCATCGACTAGCGCGGTGAAGTATGGTCAATAAAGCCCCCCACGATTGACGTGGAGCGGCAGAGGCACTCACAGCGGCGGCGGATTGATTAAGGGCTGTGAATTGTTATCTGCGATGGGTGCTGTCGAAGGGACGTGGATGTGAGAAGCGATCTAAAATTATCTGCTTGTTCATTGCGATTTTGCTGCGGTCTAATGGTGAGCAGCACACAGCGCGGGCTTGCAATCCAGAGGGTTACCGGTTCGATGCCCTCTCCCGGCCCGGCGGGTCGCGTGCGGTGGGGTAAAGAGTGGGTAACTTCCACGTCTTCCAAGACGTCCGTCCGCGCGTGGAAGAGTAGGCCAAATACTCCACTTGCGCCGGCAGTGCCGCGAGTAAACGATTACAGGGCTGCCCCGTTACATTTCATGTTCACTCATTCGTCCATCACCATCGTCGTTGTTGCCGTTATTTTGATGGTGCTATCCCCCCCACAAAACCCCCATCGGAGCTCACGACGTAAACGAAAACTTCCCGAGGCAATCAGCCGCGGGGAGCTTTGAAATCACCACGAGGCTGGCACGGCGCTGGCCTTTCCGCTGTGTCAGTTTATTTCTTGATTTACACGTTGTTCCCTGTCGCTCGCGAGGAGCGAACAAGTCGATAGTACCCTTCCAGCCGGACCGCTGGAGCGTCTTGTCTCAGCTCCTCCGCGCTAAATTGCTGTGGCATTGAGTGCGCCGCCTTTAGCCACGGGCTACTGGGCTCGAACGAGGCGGTTCCGACCGCGTAGGAGGGCAGATGGGTGTGTGGGCAGGCGGGTGGATGGGCAGGCGGGTGGATGGGTGTGTGGATGGGCAGGCGGGTGGATGGGTGTGTGGGTGGGCAGGCGGGTGGATGGATGTGTGGATGGGCAGGCGGGTGGATGGGTGTGTGGATGGGTGGGTGGATGGGCAGGCGGGTGGATGGGTGTGTGGATGGGTGGGTGTGTGGGCAGGCCGGTGGATGGGTGTGTGGGTGGGCAGGCGGGTGGATGGGTGTGTGGGTGGGCAGGCGGGTGGATGGGTGTGTGGGTGGGCAGGCGGGTGGATGGGTATGTGGGTGGGCAGGCGGGTGGATGGGTGGGTGTGTGGGCAGGCGTGTGGATGGGTGGGTGTGTGGGTAGGCGGGTGGATGGGTGGGTGTGTGGGTAGGCGGGTGGATGGGTTTGTGGGTGGGCAGGCGGGTGGATGGGTGGGTGTGTGGGCAGGCGTGTGGATAGATGTGTGGATGGGCGGGTGGATGGGTAGGTGGATGTGCGTGTGGATGGGTGGGCAGGCGAGTGGGTGGATGGGAGGGTGTGTGGTCAGACGGGCAGCCCCCGGAGCGTCTGGATGGTGCTGGAAGGCACGGAACCTCGCTTCCTTCTCGTGGCTCTGTAAACCCCCCGCCCCCCGCCCCCGTGCCCGTCCCCCCACCCGTGCCCGTCCCTCCCTTTATACATTATAATAGAAGAGTTTTTTTGCTCAATATATTCTCAAACTTTGCTGCAGTTTAGACAGTTGCTATGCGCTTTGTCTTTGTTTATGTTGTTGTTGTTGGTAAAAGAAAAGCTGCACGCATCTCAACATTTCAAGTGTCGGGTGGACGGTCATGCGTGGCGCGAGTGGTGTGCGAACCAGAGATACCAACACCGGCACACATCGTGCGAAAAGAAAAAAAACCCAGATAATGATGTCCTGCTCCCAGATGGGTGTTGGAGCATTGGTGGTCATCTCCTGTTTGCAGGCCT